GTAATATTGTATATCAACTATATGCCAATAAAAAATAAAACAAACAAAAACAGAGCCAACCATTCTTGCCTTAGATTCTGAGAAGGACTCAATACATGTTGCAAAGGAGCTAGAAGGTGGTGGGGATCCTCCTTTTTTGGCGGGTTTCCTTCCTGTTCCTGCAGGAGGGACCACTTGGGAGAGGAGTCAGAAGAGAATCCAGCCCATGAAACTCATGCCAAACATGGCAATGACAGGAACCCCACACCTACTGTAAAAGTAGCAGGACTCTTGCTCTTCAGAACTGTCAGATGCCAGCAGTGGGGTTCCTAAAAACCTTCAGAATTATGGGCTAGCCAGTTCCAAGTTCTCTCAAGGGGCTGAACAGAGCCCCTCTCTAGAAGCACCTACTGACTCCTTATCATACCTCAAACCAGATCTGCTCCAGACCCAGGGAAATGACAGGCACACCAGTCCTGCTCTTGCCAATTCCTACTACAGTGTCCAGACCACTCCTCCCTCCTTCTGGACCCTTAGGTCACAGACTCCCTAAAGGCTAAAGATCTTCTACCTGTCTCTTTTGCCAAGTAGGTGGCAGTCTGTAAATATATTTTTTAAGGGGACATCTTTCTGAATGACAAGAGCCCTTCTCAGTTTTCTCTGGTGCTTTCCAACAACTAGAGCTTCTCTGAAACCATCAGGCCTGTACACTGCTGCACTGTGCAAGCTCTGAGGAGCCTGAACTGGCACCCAAGACAGACTGCCATTAGCTGGAAGAAGATGACCACCACTGGGGGAAAATCGGCCTACTCCAGATTATTAAAAGGAGACCTAGAATTTCTTTAAAAAAGAATAATAATAAAAGGTACTGTTTGAAGCAGCAACCCCTCTTCTAGGAAATTTATCCTGCAGATACCTAAGATGAGCAGAATCATATGTATACAGACACTTCAGCTTTGTGGGAAGATCAAGAAGAGAAAAGCCTAAATTTATCAGTAGAATCTTTGTTGCATAAATTACAGACACAGACACACACACGATGATGACCCAGACCTGTATGTGCCAAAGTGGAACCATCTCTAAGATAGTTAAGTAAATCAAAGCAAGCAGTACTATCCTTTCCCCACTCAGACCTTGATTACACATCCTGAGAGGACACGCAGGGCTGCTGCTGCGGACCCTGGGCCACCTTCAAGGCCACAGTCTCACATGAGCAGGTGGAGGAGAAAGAATGCTCTTGTTTCAGGCCACTCTCAACCTTCTTTACAGAACAAAAATTCAAGGACAAATCCCATGCAGATCTCCCCAGCTGCAAAGGGCCTGCCTGAAGCCCCATGCCCAGCCAGTGCCCTCAGAGGGCTCAGGGGGATAAGGCCACCAGGGTGGCTCGCTCCCACTTTCCTGATGGTTCTGGGTGGCCTCTGGCAGGCGCCTCTCCTTCCTGGGAAGAGGGACTGAATCTGCTGTCCCAGCCTCCAGAGTACATCCAATCTCAAGGTCTCCTTCTAGTAAGATCTCCAGAGAGCACTGAGAAAGCCATGTCTCCCTGAGGTAGGCTGCCGCCCAGGACCCCATCAATCGCTACTGCTAGAGGAGTCAGTGTGGACAGCGCAGACAGAAGCGCTGCTCTTTAAGGCCATTTGAAGGCTAAAGGCATTATTGGAGTTTTGCAGACTCAGCCACTTGAGTTTCTAAAACACTGAAGAAGTTTACCTCCCTGGGCAAATCTGAGCAGAGGAAAGGTGAAGGAAGGGAGGCTGCCTTTCTCTCCCAGGCTCTGACTCAGGCAAAACCAGAGGGAAGCCTGGCCGAAAGCCAGACACAGTGCCAAAGACTTTGCAACTGATCCTTTCCCGTGAGGGTGTGCTCAGGGCTTACTGAATGAAGCTGGCGGATTTCACCAGCCATTGTCTTCTCCCAAGCCATCCGATCTCCGCACTGTCATTCACTCTGTCACTCAAATCAAGAACCTGAGAGTCACCTGTCACTGTTGCTCCTCCCTCAACCATCATTTCCAAACATCCCGAGAGTCCAGCTGATTTTCTCCAAAAGAGCTCTGATCTCTGCCCTGATGCAAGCCCCTACCAGCCCTTGCTTTGATTATTGCAATGACCTCCTACTGGGACTCCAGGTTTCCTCTCTCCCCAATCCATCCTCCACCCACAGCCAGAGGGCTCTGGGAAGATGCAGGTCTAATGGGGTTTCCTCCACTTAAAGCATCCTATCACCTACAGAATGGGAAGTTCAAGCATCTTAGCATGGTGTCTCCCACTCCAGCATGTCCTCCAGCAAGGTCCCTTCACACCCTGTGCTAGAACCTCCCATGGTCCCTGAAGTGCACCCACACTGGCACACATCCATGTCTGCGCCATGCTGCTCCCCTGCCTGGAGTGCTTCATGAGCCCTCAGAAAACTCTATTCACTCTTCAAGATCCAGTTCAAGCTCTAAGGGCTCTCCCCAGTTCTCTGCACTCTCCCACTCCTTCCTTGTCCCCACTACATGTGGCAAAGACTTCTGTGAGAGACTCACCAGACTCCAGGGAAGTGTCAGTTAAATGGGAGCCTGCCTTGGCCATTCTCCTCCTACCTTCTGTATCCAGCACACCCCCAGCCATACATGGGAGCTCACGTGTATGGAACTGTGGTTCTGGATTTCAAGCCACCACACACATCAATATGTACAAGGCTTCTTAATGATACTAGTAATTCAGATACCAGACTAGGGTCACTAATAGGGACACACAAAGATGATACTCTAATACTTTCTCTCTCATGAATATGTTAGGACTTTTTTCTCCACAGTTCTATTTTTAAAAACGGTTCTTTTAAAGAGCCAAGCTGAATTAGCTGCATGGCTCCCATAGAGACTGGGTTAACTCCCCACAGATTTCCTTTTCAGAAAGAATACAATAAAATTCTCTGATTGTGATCCTTCAGGACACTTCTAACAGCTCAATGGGACACAGTTCTAGTTGCTGCTAATTGCTTCAATTATTGGAAGTTCTTGCCTGCAGCCTGTAATAAGAGCTAACAGTTACCAAGTGTTTCTTACTTGGTGTGTGCTAAATGTTCAACCTGCAACATTTTACTAAATCTTCACAACTGTCCTATTATGGAGGGGCTCTGTCCCCGTTTTACAAATGAGAAAGCTGGGTACAGAGAGAATAAGTAACCTCTAGTGACTGGCAGGGCTGGCATTAGAACTCAGATCTGTCTGACTGCAGAGCCAAACAGGTTCCTGCCTCCTACAGTCTGCTGCCTTCCCTAAAGGTCAAATGGAAGGCACAGGGAACAAATGCAGCACCCCCTACAATGGGCCTGAGAGCAGCCTCACCTCCCAGCTGCTCAAGTAACTTGCAGTCCCAGGAAGAGAGGGGCATATTTGCCAGGCAGAGGAGCCCAGGGTGATGCAGGAGCTTGTCACTTGCCACCAGTTGCATATGGTGCTTTCTCAGTAAAGAGCCACCTCCCTAGCACCAGCTTTCCTCTCTCAGAGGCCTGCAGTCCCTTCATTTCTCCTCTCCTGTCCTTTCCCTGATCTGTTGGGACTTCAGAGAAATCATTCTGAAACAGATCCAGTCATGTCACTCTGCTTAAAACCTTTCCACTGTCTCTTCACTGCTCTTGGCACAAAGTTCCAAATTGTTAATGTGGCATTTCCTTTCCAACTTATATTGCTTTACCTTGTGCCATGTTGACTTTCACGAGTTTCTTGAAATAATAATAGCTAACATTTATTGAACTCTTATTGTGGGGCAGACACGGTTCTATGTGTTTTACATGTGTTAACTTTTAAAATGTTCATAACAACATTATGTTATCACCCCTGTTTTATAGATGAGGACACTGAGGCACAGAGAGGCTAAACAATGTGCCCAAGGCCACATAGGTAAGCTGTGGAGTCAGAATCTGAACTCAGAAAGTCTGGCTCCAAAGCCCACTCTTAACCACCATGCATACTTGCCCCTCCACGCAAGGCAAGGACATTGTTTATTGTCCGTGGGGAATGAATGAATGAATGAATGAATGAATGAGGGCTACCTCCAGACTGTGTAGCTCTAACCGAAAAACAACTGGCACAGCAGGGCTATTAAGCGGCGCTGGAGCAGCTCACAAGCGCTGTTTACAAACAAGGACTCTTCTGACCTTACAATTACACATTCTGCTCTTCCTTATCTCATGCAAAACTAAGCCAAGAGGGAAACTCGCCCAGCCCACAGTGACTACCCTCTTCGCCACTGCTCTCAAAACCAAGCAAAGCTAACCGGTTTCTCCTCATGACTTAAAACAGAGCAAAGTCTATCCTGCCACCGAAGTGGCTGTCATCTCTTCCTTCCGCCAAGAAACGTGCATCAAACCTAAAGTGGGGGTAGGCAGAGAACGCGACGTCGGGAGTCCCGGTGCCCCCCCCCCACTGCCTGTAAGGTGGGGGACAAGTGGCGTGGGAATGGGCCGGCCTGACCCTCAGACAGATGAAACACTGACCACAGCAGCAGGCTCCTCGGAAAAAGCCGGCCAAACGCAGCACTGGCAAGCGCGTAGCTCACCTGAACCCCACTCGGGATGCGAAAATTTCCCAGCAGCGATGGTGCCCGTGCCAGCCGGTGAGGGCTCCTGGAGAAAGCGCTGGCTGGCTCTCCCCAGGGACTCGTTCTAACTTTCAAGTCACTCTCGGGATCGGGAGGGAAGCATGGAGAGGCAGAGCGTGTCTCCTGGGTTCAAACGCCGGTACCTTCATTCACTTGCCGAATGACTCCGGGCAAGGCTGGCAGTGCCCACCTCCCAGGACTGCGGCGGGACCCGCAGCTCCCCGCGGGCGCCTCGGACCCGGCGCAGCGGCCGCCGCCTCCGCCGCCCGGGAAGGGCAGACCCAGCAGAGGAGGGGGCATTCGCTGTTGCCATTCCTGTCGCACCCGACGGCCGGGGGCTGTCACCCGAATCCTACTGCCACGGCCTCTGAGGCCCGCCCCGCCAGCCCGCACCCCCCGCCTGGCTCCCCGCTCCGGGACCCCCGCCCTCACCTTCCCCCGGTGCTCAGCGCTGCTCGCCCATAGTCCGTATCCCGGAGCCGGGGCTGCTTGGCGCTCCGTCCCGGGGAACCAGGGCCGGGCCGGAGGCGTGGGAGCCGCTCACCGCCGCCTCCCAGCGCAGCCGCCGGAGCCGCCACTGCTGCCGCCACCGCCTCCCTCCATGGCTGCGGCGCCGCCACCTGACAACGGAAGTGACGCACCGCCCCCTCCTCTCGGGCCCGCGCCGCAGCCCCGCCCCTCTCCCCGGGCCCCGCCCCTCGTCTGTGTCTACAACCCACGGCCTGGGGATTGGGGTGCCATCTTGACGATGGGCGGAAGTCTTGAGGCAGGAAAACAGAATCCGATTGGGGATTGGTTCTGCATGGGGACTGGGCCGAAACCTGTGAAACGATTGGAGACTGAGACTCTCATGGGGCGGTACTTACCGCTTATCTATGTCTGAGGTGAGGCTGGGACGGAGACACCGCCCCCGCCTGGACTCCACAGAGCCTCGCGTGCCCTACCCTCGCACTGCCGCCTTTGGAGAAGTCTCCAGCAGCTGGAAGGATATAGGCGCTCCGGCCCCGGGAACCAGGGCCGGTCAGAAAAATGGCTCTTCCTTGATCCCCATTTCTCTGTTTTTGGCGCCCTGTGCGGAGGGTGCTGCAGTTAGGCTCAATAAGTGACAGGAATTCTTGTTGCGGCCCTCACAAGACATTCCTATCAGGGCCACTTGCCTTTGCAGAAACCCCGCTTCAACCTGAACATCCCTGGAGTCTTGAGCAAGTAGGTTCACAGTGAAGGGCTCTTATTAACGATTCCAGCCATCTAACCTCAGTCCCTCCTGCTGCAGTTTCGGTCCCTTTCTCCTCCTCCTCCAGCAACCACGCCCTCCATGAATCAGCTTCTTGCACCAGCAGATGAACCCTTTAAAGGGATTGCATCAGGCTGGTGACTCACTGGGGCCCTCCGACAGCCTTCCTCTGGCTTCCCTCCTCTGGCGTGCAGACACAGCTTGAAGAGCTCAGTGACAGCAGCACCAAAAACCACGGCCCCACTCCTTTGTCTCGGAGATGTGGGCCAGGGTGCTTTTAACACATGACTATCTCCCTGGTGTTTTTCCAGCTGTCCCCTGGGGCACTCTGCATTCACATGTAGGCTGTATGCTTTGCTGGGTTTTCCTAGGGCGTGTGGCCATTTATGTGTACGTGAATTCGCCATCTCCACACAGGCAGTGCCAGGACATGAGAACTGGTGTGAGTCTGGCTGCCCATCTCTTTGTCTCTCAAATGCCTGGTGCCCACTGAGCTGATTGGGCTGAATAACAACAGTAATCAAACAGCTCCCACTATTGTGTCACACACTGTGTTAGCACTTCAGAGACATCAGCATCAGGAGTCTGTTACAATGAAGAAGGTCTGAGAGGAAAGAAGCCTGTCCAAAGACACACAGCTAATAATGGTGAGGATGTGGTTTGAACCAAGTATGGTTCCTAAAAGGTGGGATTTGAATCCTAGCTGTGTCCCTTACAAATGCCCTAACATTTCCCATCTGGCAAAATGGGGACAACACTCTGTGGCCCACGGTGAGACTTCAGGGAGTATGGAAACACCTCCTCACAGGACCTGGCCAGTAAGGGTGCTCATTCTCATCTCAGTTACAGAGCTTCAGTGAAGTGGACAGTGAAAAGTGAGGCACAAAGAAACCTGGCCCTGACCCCTCCAAAATCCTCTCTCTGACAAAGGGAAAAGCCAGGGATTCCGGAAGCCCTGACTCTGACAGGAATGAGTTTTGGGTTTTCCAGAGTTCTAATTATCAGCTAGATGAATCACTTGGAGCTGACACTGCATCCCCACCCCCAGGAGATTCTCAGCTGATTCAAAATATAGGATTTTAACAAGAAGAGGAGGAGGAGGAGAAAGAGGGGAGGTGAAGAGGTAATGAATAGAAACTTAAGGTGCCAGCCAGAGGAAATAAAGAACTGTTGTCAGGACACCAACATGAGACCACTGCATCACTCACACACACACACACGCACACCTGTGTACAACGACATACTCTCCTGCTGGCTCTCCGACTCTGGGCACACTCGCAAATGGCACTGCCACAACAAAGTGACGCCTGTCACAACAGCATGAGATGGTTGCTTGATGAGGTATGGGCAGATCTGCCTAGCACAGGAGACAAGACCTTTAACCCTAAGGAGCTTTTTCAGGCTTCTGAAACCCAGCAAACCCTACTTACTGGCTGGCTCTGGCTTCTCCTGGTCAAGCCCCCAGGCCTGGGTATGGCCAGGTTTTGAGTACCAGGCCCTCACCTGGCGACTGGGTACCCCCACTGAGGTGAGCAGAGGCACTGCTTATTTTTGTTATCAGTGTGATGTTAGGAGTGCTGGGATGCATAGTAGTGTAGTACTTAAGATCATGGAGTTTGAGTGATACAGACCTCAGTTCAAATCCCCACCCTGCTGTTCAGTTGCTCTTTGACCTTGAGCAACCGACTTAACCTCTCTGGGCCTGTTTGCCTATCTGTAAAATGGGGTTATTGATATATACATGCAGGGTTGTTGTAATGATGGAAGCACGCAGAGCCTCTGGCACAAGGCCTGGCACGCAATGAGATTTATGATAGCTATTTATGAAGACCATCTTGGCTTTCTGCCATTAAATTCATCGTGGGATGCAGGGAGAGCACCTTCCCCTTCCCCAAGAAGACTGGGCCTCAGTTTCCTCAACTGTAAAATTAGAGAGTTGAATTGGTTCAGTGGCTCCTTACCTTCTTACCTTCAAAGCTTCTTTTAGCATTTTCTCTCCATACAAGCCTCACATTTGCTAAGATTTTGTCTCCCAAGCAACTTGCATCAAGTTATTTCTGCCTTTTTATTGATTACTTCTTTGTGTTACAGCCATTAGAGCTTGTGATCCAAAGGAGCAAGCTAGTGTGGCCACCACACTGTTGGCGTAATTCCGCCCCAGAGCAGGGACCACGCCGGCTTCATTACCCTTCACATACAATGTGTTGTTTTTCTAGGTCCTTCTGGAACATTGAAAGAATTCAAGAGAGCACTGCTGCCCTTGGGGTCCCTTGAGCCGGATGCCAGACTGGAACTCACTGAGCTGGATATTCCCATCCAGATGATTGCTGGAGATGCTGGGTCACTTGTGTGGCCCCTGGGGAGATCTGAACTTCAAGCTGTATGCCCGCCAGCTCTCTTCAGAGCCTGCTAGTGCCCCCTCCCAAATGACAGTGCCCCCCTATTCTCTTCTTTCCAGTAACGGGAGGGGAGGGAGGGGGACACCCCATGCCACCTGAGCACTCAGAATTCCTGGGGGCTTAGTCATCAGCCGGGACCTCCACATTGGCATATGTGGGAGTTTGAACAAAGGTCACAGCAAGGAGAAGCACAAAACCCACACCGATGGGGTAATAAAATTTTGAAATACATTTTTCGTTTGTTTCCTTGGTGTCCTTCAACCCTTCCCTTATACAGATAGGTTACTCTGCATTCCTTACTTCAGGAAACCATATGATACAACAGAATGCAGGGTTCCTTTTTAGCTTCTCAATTCCAAAAGCCTAGCTTTCAGGGAGGTACAGAAAGAATTTCTGTGCAGATACAAATTTAGAAAGCTGTGTAACAAGGGGCATCTGGGAGACTTGGGTCCTGGGTGGGGGAAGGGTGGTCCCTGAGAATAGAGGCTTCTCTCAGCCTCAGAGCTGGAGGGGATCAGCTGGGGCTCAGAGACTGGGAAGCAGGAAGAGTTGCACTCTTCTTCTTGGTGGAGCACCAAGAAGTAAAAAAATCCTCTGAAGAAACAGCTGTGAGCTGCATCTGGGTAAACAGGGCCTGAGTAACCTGTGGGCCTACACATTTCCAGGGCCTAATATGGCGTAGGAAAAGGAGAGAAAGCTGAACACCGAGAGGGGGACGGTTCTCCTGAAGAGGTCTTCTGGAAGGGAATGAGCAACTTGGAACAGCCCTACTGGGCTGATGACAAAAGAGCAGAACAAACCGGGGACATGTCAGAGGATGCTAGAGGGATTCGATTACCACCAGATTAGACTATCTTTCCCACACTTTGGTACCTTGAAAGGGGATGCCCTAGAATTCAATCAGTTCCAAGGAAAGTGAGAGGAACTTTGAATGGACTGCAGTTGTTTCTGCCACTCTGGCTGAGTAGGATGAAAGAGAAATTCAGCTGAATTAGAGAAAATTCAAGTTGTAGTTCTTACATACCAGAAATTGGAACCAGCTACATTCTGTACCCACAAGTCCTGATTATCCTTTCTCCAGCCTTACCTGCCTCTTTCTGCTCCATCAATAGTCACAATGGTATTCTGTCATTGCCCCAAACCCCCAGGCACTCCCACCTCAGGACCTTCGCACTGGCAGTTTCCTCTGCCTTCCCCTGGCTCTTTAAATGTCAGGCTCCTTCTCAAATTTAACTTCTCAAGACCACACTTCCCAAAATAAAACCACCTCCATATTCTTTTTCAAGTACCCCATTTATTTCCTTCACAACATCTGTAATTATTACTTTTCTTGTTTATTGTCAAGAAAGTCAGCCTGCTGAGGGCAGGACCTCTGTCTATCTTGATGTTCCCTCAGTAGCTTGTACTGTGGCTGGAATTACTTGTGGAATGAATTACTGGTGACTGGGAATTCCTGACTTGCTATAGGCTGGTGGGCATTGAGTGTCCTCAACCTGCACCTGAGTTCCTGACAGCCTTTCTCAGCAAGCTAGGACCAGATACCAAAAGACCCAGATCCTTAGGGCTTGAAGACTTAGCTGTGCTCTACTCCAGGGAGTCAGCATGAATGTGTCAGTGGGGCCTGGTTCCACTCCTTCCCACCTATCCTCCCAGCACCTTGCCTAGGGACAACTGAGGCTCACAGGTCTGGGGCACGACGCTTAGGATCAGGACAGTGCTTCAGCCTGTTTGCCTCTCTTTTCAGCGCTAGCCTTGCTGCTTCCCTCCCAGGCCTGGGGACTCTCCCTTGTCTGCTCAGCCTGTAGAAGTCCCAGGCACACCATTTAAAAGCCTCAGAGTTAGACCTTTCCTTCATCCTGGGCCTCTCAGCAAAAGCCCTGGAAACTTCTGCAGACATGTGGGAAATGTCTGCAGTGGGCGCTGCTATGGGATTCCCTGCCAGCGCATCATTCCGGTGGTTCTCTCCCCATTTGCTGCGTGCACATAGCCATTCCCACAGTGATGACCGCCCTTCTGTGCCTGCCCTCTGGGCGTCTCTTACCAGCAGTCCCCTTGTGGTGATGCTCCCTTAACTCTGTCAGAGGGGCCTGGAAACTCAGAGAATTGGTTTTCTCCCTGCTAGGACCCACCGTTCTCCCCTGAAGGCAGAGGGCACAGTTTTAGGGGCTTCTGGAACCTGTAGGCAGTGAAATAAATACACCATGCCAAAGAATCACAGTGAGTGGCTGTTAGTTATGCAGATTCCCAGGTTTCAGGTCCTGGTTCACATGGGAAAGAGGGCGTCAGGGAAGTGGCTTTTCCAGATACACCCCAGTTGATTCTGATGGTGAGGCGGGGTGCCTGAGAACAAAGCTTTGACAAAGACTGGGCTGGAATGCAAATGCAGTGACCTCAGGCTGCTACTGCCCAAATGACCACTCTCCTCCAATCTCCCTCAGGAGACGAAAGCGTCTTAAGGGTAGCAGCACTGCCTTATTCAAAACTCTGGTGCAGCAGTTCTCAGCCTGGGTTTCATTTTTTGGTTCTTGACCACTTTCCCAACTTGATCATAAGTCCCTCTCCAGCAGGGACCAAGTCTCATTGGACGCTGTGTGCTCAGCAGGGGGCCTGGCATGTCGTAGCGGCTCTGTGGGTGTTTGTTCGAGGAAAACAAACTCCTGGTTTTACAAGACAGAGGTGCTTTTGCTGAGATGGTTGTTTGCCTGTGGCAGGGCTGGTCTGGCTCCAAGGTGGCCACCATGGAGATGAGGGTTCTGACCTGAGAATCCCTTCTTCCCTGAGGACCTGACAGCTCTCAGGATCGGAGCCTGGTTTCTTGCTGTTGGCTGGGCTCCCGCACTCAAGGGGCAGCCCAGGATTATTCTAACCCCTCTATATCAGGAAACAGCGGCGAGACAAGCAGCCTTCTCAACAGGGAATCTCGACGTAAAAACCACTTCTCCTATGCCTGTACTGAAGCATTCTCCTACAATTCTCTAACTTCGCAGCCACCTGGGAAACCTAAAAATCCGTGTCCAGGCTACACCCCATATTAATTAAATCTGAATAGCTGATGGTGGGCCAGGGGATTCCAATGGGCTGCCAAGTTTAAGATACAGGACCAGTACAGAGGCCTGTGCACACCAGGGAAAGCAATTAGGCATGGACCGGTTTGTGTCTAAGTTCCGTTTCATGAGAAAACAAACACAACTGCAAGAGAAATGCAGACACTTAGGGGTGGCTCAAGCTAAGCACATTTAATAACTTTCACTGGGAGAAGTTTTCAACTATTTGAGATTCCTTAAATCAGTAAATCAGAGATTCAGATGTAAATGATCAAAAGCAGGGATTATCACCTACCCCAAGGCCACAGACAGATAAATAGATTCTGGGTCCCCAGGTGAGTCTGACAGGTGGAACCCTGGTAAAGGCAGCTGTGATGGGTGGTGTCTGTTACAGATGCCAGTTGCTGGGCTGGCCCTTCCCTTCCCAGTTTCCAGGCAGGGAAGTATAGCCTGCAGTTGGCTCAGCAGACCTCTGGAGGAACCTGAGTGGGGACTGGGGCTTGCTGAGGAGACAGGCTCATTTATGCTTTTTGGAGGGAAATTCCCGCCGGCCTTGGCCCTTGCTGCCAAAGTTGCGTACCCGATTGACGACCTGCAGCTGCTGCTCAATGGTTGAGGTGATGTTCACATCATCTGGGATGTGGACATAACGGATATTACGGCCTGTCACAAAGAGGTCATCCAGCTCAACTTGATGCCCCCAGCGGTCCGTGTAAGTGACCTTGGCCAGACGGATGTTCATGAAAGCATCGACGTTGTCTATGCGTCCATGGGCCACGCTCTCATCCCTCAGATCCACAGTGGTTACCTGGCCCTGGAGGCCCTGCAGCAGGATAATCAGGCTGTTCTCGGAGATGGTCCTCTCCTTCACTGAGTGGCTCACCGCCATTCTTCCACACCGCTGCCTGCAGGAGGAGCACACAGATGGGAGCTATAAGGAGTGAGGGGTTGCAGCTGCCAACTCACCTCTACCAGGTTCTAGCATGGACTTCCCCAAACCTGCCCACCTCCCCAGTTTTTATGTCTGTGGAGCACCCTCAGGAGCCAGGTCTGAACACATCTCATAGGATCCTCACACCACCATGCAAACCAAGGATTACTTACAGTCATTCTATCAATAAGGAAAATATGGCCAGGAGAGAGAGGTTCTGCAACTTGCCCCAGGTTACATAGTTGGTAAGTGGAGGTGCTGGGATTCAAATCCATGGGTTCTGGACTCCAAACCTCACACCAGTCATTCTGAACCCTCACTGTACATTAGAATTACCCAGGGACTTACTACCTGGCTATCATACCCCAGAGGTTCTGAGTCATTTAGTCAGGGGTGGGGTCCAGGTTCCTGTTTTAAAAACTCTTCAGGTAACTCTAATGTGCACCCAAGTTTGAGAACCACTTCTTTAAAGTATAGTTTACACCCTTGCTATTACAAGTACTGTCTGTGGACCAGCAGTTTCAGCATCCCCAGGGAAACGCAGAATCTTCCCAGACCTATTGAAAGAATGTGCACTTTAACATGATCCTCAGGTGAATCAACAGAAGTTCTCAAATGGTAGTGTGAATCAGAATCACCAGGAAGACTTGTTAAAACAAAATGCTGGGCTCCACCCCCAGTTTCTAACTCAGGTCTAAGGTGGGGCCTCCGAATGTGTGGTATCTAACATATTCTACTTGATGCTGGTGTTGTTGGTCTGGAGCCCACATTCTGAGAACGACTGGTCTCCACCGGGCAGCCACCATATAAGTAGAAATTTAGGTAATCAACTGAAAAAAATGGTATCATATAAAGCGCATAGGTTTTAAAGGCAGAGAAACCTAGGCTGGAATCCCCACTCCACCCACAAACTCTGTAAACCTAGGACAGTGAATGTCTCTGAACCTGTTTCCCCATCTATTAAACCACATACTAAAGGAGGCTAAGAAAATCTCACTACACTGCATTTACTCTCGTTTGCTTTGTCCTAATACTCTATCAAGGTAACTTTGTCTTATCTCCTATTTTCAGACCTTGGGTAACTGGTGGTGAAACTTTCTTTCCTTAAGACTTCACTCAAAATCCCGACCAGGGCTGTGCCTGGCGGCATTAAGTGGGGCAAGCCAGACCGCACCACTGAGAGAGGGGTTGGGCGCTGGGCCATTAGCATCTAACGACCCCACCCCGGCTTCACCAGGAGGAGCACGTGCCCAAGCAAAGGCTTGGGGCTGCACAGTACTGCAAAGAGGCAGGCCTGGCTCTAAGACCGGCCCTGCCCCTTCCTAAGAGGGAGGCCTCGAGCAAGCCCCTTAGCTTGAAGCCTGTTTGCACAGAGGTAAAATGAGGATGTGGATGGTGACGACTCTTTCCTCACAAAGCCCTGGGAGTGCGCTGCGGGAGATGAGCTACACTCAGCCAACTGGGAAGAAAACCTTTCACCTGCTCCCGGCCGCCTGCCGGGCCCCGGGTTCCGCGGACTTCCTGCACAGGATTTGTTCCGCTTTCCGGATCTGCGTCGCCGCTGAAGCTAGCGGGCACTTAGCTCGGCCTTCCTCAGGCGGCGGAACTGAGAAGCCATGGTAACGACGGGGCCGCTCTGTCCTCCCGGAGCATAGAGAGCGCGTCGTGTGACGGGAACTACAATCCCCATAATGCCTCGCAGGCGTCGTGGCCCGCGTTCTGGCTGGCAATCCTGGGCCTGTGTCTTAGAAGTCTCTCCATAGGAGTCATTCATTCAACAAACAGCCATTGAACGGTCACCGTATGTCAGTCCCTTTGGCTCTCTGGACACAGAGCGGCGACCAAGGAGACAGCAAATTCTGATGTGATGATCTTTCAATCTATTTGGGGAGAGGAGGGAGTGAGAGTGGAGGGGGCGTCCATAAGAAAACAAACAATTATGGTAAAAATTCTTAAGGGAATTAAAATAGGGTGATGTGATAGTGACTGCGTAGCCTTTTATTGGATGGTCAGGGATGTGACATTTGAGCTGAGATGAATGATATGAAGCCAACCTTGTGAAAACTAGGATAGAAGCATAGCAATTAGAAGTTTGTGCAAAGGTCCTAGGGGAATGAACTGGACTGTTTGGAAAAACAGAAAGGCCAGTAAGCTCTGGGAGAGTGGAGTGACAAGAGGTCAGAGAGGAAGGCCAAAGTCAGAGCATTTAGAGCTTTGTAAGTCAAGGTAGGGAGACTGGATTTCTTGGTTAGAGTGCAGGCTCCAGAGGCAGTGCCTGGGTTCAAATCTGCTCTGTGCTAACTATATAACTTTTTTTTTTTTAAGCCATTGTGTTTATGGTAATTTGTTACAGCAGCAATGAAAAATACAATACTAACCATAAAACTTTATAGACAAGTTTCTTATTCTCTCTGTGCCTGGGTTTCCTCACATATTATTAGAAGTGCAGTGATTGGCTATCAAAGGGGAGTGACATGGTCTGGTTTACATTTTTAAAAGGTTACTCCTTATTGCCTTGAAAAAAGCTGCTTATCTTCTCTCAGTCTCAATTTCCTCATTAGAAAAAAAAGATAATGTCACAGAATTGAAAGATCATTAATGTGTGGCAGCATCTGGCACATAGGAGAAGCTCAGTTGAAGTTACACTTGTTTCATTCCTTCACTCTCTCATTCATTGATTTGCACCTCCCCCAGAAGCCTTCACTTTTTACCAGTGACCGCAGTTAGTTTCTTCTTATCCTAAAAATAGGAACTTTCTCCTCCATAAGGGTGAAAAGTTTGAGAACTGCTGCTCTATCCTGAGAGCTTTCACCAATTTACTCAACCCACTGTAATCTGGCTTCTATCCTCAAAACTCCATGAACTTCCCTGAAAAAAGTTACTCATGATTTGTGTGGTCATAGGAGAACTTCTATCTCCTTTCTTAGTCCCTACTTCATGTTCCTCAGTGCTTGACCATATTGACCATCCTCCTCCCTGGTACTTCTTTTTCCCTCCTGGGGCATTATTATATCATTTGGTTTCACCCATTTCTTTGTTTCTTCTCCATCTGTCTTTCTTTTTAACCTCACTTCATTCTCCTGCTCCCTAAATTCGTGTGCTTTCTCTGGGTCTGTGTCCCCGCCCAGGCCTGTATTTGGTCGCTTCTGTCTCTATGCTGTCTACTACTACGTGCTGAGTCCTTGGTCTAGGTCTCCAGCCCACAGTGCTCTATGATCTCCATTTTCCAACTGCACTTGTCTGTTGCTTATTCTCATATGTCTTACTGGTACTTGAAACTGCATGTCTACAAGGTAAATTCATCAAGTCCTTCCCAAATCATTTGCTGCTCTGAATTTTTCTATTTCTATGGTTGCTACCACCATTTTTCAACTACCCAAGTTGGGCACCTTGAATAAACTTAACATTTTCTATCATTTCTTGATTCCCCCACACCTGTTACAGTCACTGAGCCTTGCAAATTCTTTGAAGTGTGTCTCCCCACTTTACTTGCCTTTTTATCCTGACTGTTTGCAAGCATTCTAGTTGAAAACCTCATCCTCTCATTTGATTCATTATAAAAACCATTTTTGCTGGTCTCTGTGTCTTGTGACCTTTTGCCAACAGATTAGATTCAAAGTACAGTTCTGATCCTATTGTTTACCTGCTAAGAAAACTTTCATTTGCTAGCACTATAAAATGAATTGCAATATAATCAATCACTAGCAATATGAATTGAATGCTGACATTGATTTGATTCCAGCTTAGTTTCCAGCTGGATCTCCTTCAGGTTCTCTACCCAAACTCTCCAACCACTGTTTCTTCAAGTGTGGTATTGGAACCAGTTGCCTTAAAGTTATCTGGAAAGTTTGTTAAACCCAACCCCAGACCTGCAGAACCACAAGTGAAGCCCAGGAATCTGCACAGCTAACAATGCACACTGAAGTTTGAGACCCACTGCTCTCCCCTCTAGTCAGAATCAGTCAGTCTGCAACCCTTGGACAAGCCTTACACTCTTGCCTCTGCCTTTTCTGTCCTGCTCCATCTGCCTTAGATCCTCTCTTATCTTTGGATGGTTAAGTCCAATTCCTCCTTTAAAGCTTGCCTCAGTTGCTGTATCTTTCTGAAGTCTTCACTGATGACCTCAGTTGGGCGTGACATCTCTGCTCTCACCCCTATCACATATTGCTTCTTAGATGTTTACTTGTTGCATGCAAATGTGCCTGAGTTATTTACATAAATCTTACCTTCCCTGTAAGTCTCCTGGGTGTTGAGACAGGGAGAAGGTTTAGGAGGCCCAAGGGCATCACACTACAAACAACAGCTGGGAGTGGAACACTGGTTCCGTGAATGTGGTGAGAAGGCGATTGGGATCTGAGTGAAGTGGTGGCAGTGGGAATGGAAAGGGATGAATGTTAAAGACCATGAACACGGTTTATCAGAGTCCTTGGAGGGTGATTAAATCTGGGGTGTGGGTGGGAGACAGATGGTGACCCACTGATGGGAATGAGAGTGTTGGGGGTGGGACGGGGGTCGTGTCAGTGGAGGATATCTCATTTTTTGGCTACTCAGCCACTGAACTCCTTTCCCCATGATTGGAGAAATCTGACATTCATGAATTTCAGTGGGAGGTGGGGTTCTACTTCCTGCTGCAGATGATCTAAAGGCCAGTTATTGCCTCTGATCCTTGTCAGCCACAGCATGCGCTTGTGACCTAAACTCAGGCATTATCAGACTCGAAATCTGGACCAAGTGACACAGCCCAGCAGGAACTATTTAGGGCCTGTCCTGATGTCTGAGTCTCCCAGCGCCTCACTGCCGGGAGGGCTGCCGTGCCGGAGTCCTTTCCTGTGCTGCTTACCCATCCTTGGTTCCTGGCCATTCTCTCATGGTTCATCAGGCTTCCTGACAACTGTGAGCTGCTGGAAGCCCTTTCAGTAGATCCCTTCTCTACTTCAGTAGCCAGAATTGGTTTCAATATTTTTTGAGTTCTCTTGTGGTTCTGTTCCCAGTTGTCAGAGGATCACAGAACCCTGAGAGTTAGGGCGAGTCCCAGGTCACCTGTTCCATTTTACCACCCGGTACCCAAATCCCTTCTAGAGCACTGGGAAGATGCCCCCTGACCACTGCCTGAGATGCCAGTGACCAGCAACTCATGTCTTTGCCAGATGTTCTACTCCATTGTTAAGAAGTTTCTAGTAACTTCTACCCATCACTTCTAGTTCTCTTTTATGGAAAACTGTCCTATTTTGTTTTATATTTAATTTCAAAAGTTTCTTCATGCCTTTTGGAAATGAAGTAATGTATTAAATAAACAGAAATGACTGTCAAGTGTTAGACACTAAGTGTGAGGTGCTGTGGAACATCTCAGGGAAAGAGCCTGCAGCCCAGGTAAGGGGGGGGATTACAGAGAGTTGCAAGTCAAGGTAATGGCCTCTCTGGAAAAAAATGCTGCAAAACTATTTGCAGAAGAATGCAAACTAAGCAGCTGGGGGCACAGGGCACATTGGGTCAGCAGTGGGGTGAGTATAAAGGACCCAATCCTGAGAGTGAGGAACAGAGAGAGAGAGAAGAGAGTGAGGCTGGGGAAGAAGCAAGGGATCTGATCAGGATGTCTGGTCAAGTGACCTGGCTGTTTGGGCAGACCTTTAAAAATGGCTGCACTGACATCTGTATCACCAGGGCAATCCTCAATCCAAGCCACTGAGGGAGAGAGGGCAAGTGTGGTCCGAAAGTAGTATGATTTGAGCCATCAAAGCCAAAGGGAGAGAGAGTTTTAGGAGGAAAAGGCCCTTTAGCAGGGCTGAGAGCCTTCAAAAAGCCAAGACAAGGGGGAGGAGAGAAGGCTGTTGGATCTAGCAAAGTTGGGCATGGAGGCGTGAGCCAGGATCTGTGGAGTGCTGGAGCTACTAGGCTGTAGGAGGGAGTGGGGGAGCCTGGAGTGCGGGTGAGTCAATGGAGAGGAGTGGAGAGGAACAGCTAGAGAGGTAAGGTGGAGAGGAAGACCCCTGGAGATGCAGAGGTCGCAGGTTTGGGTGGGAATGGTTGCATAGGAGGAGGACATCCTCAGCAGCCATTTGGATAGACAGCAGAGGTGCAGAAAGAGGGCTGGGTGTGATGGAGGGAAGAAGGGTGCAGGCATGCTGAGGCCGAGGGGAGAGATGAGGGAGAGCATACATAGCATTACCGTCTCAATTGTAACTGAAGCTGCATGGTCTTTAGGATAGCCAGAAAACCCCTGTCAAATGTCCTTGGCTGACACTGACTTCCCCCTTGAAAACCTGAGAAAAGTGGCCCCAGCATTTCAAAAGGAACTTGGGGGGGGTATAAAGAGAAAGGAGGGCAGAGTGGTCTAAGGCAAATAGCCACACCTAGGGTTTAGGAGTCCTGGTTGGAACCCCCTCTGTGCCTTCACCAGGACTAATGCCACTGGGATTTCATGTAGTTTTGGGAACTACAAGAGAAGGCAATGCTATTTTTGACAGCAGAGGCACCGCTGGGCAGAAACAAAGACTGTTGAGTGTGTGTGTGCGTGTAGCAGGGGGAATGTTAAGGTAATCGAATAATCCAGAGCAATTTCCACTGGCCCTTTGGAGTGCATCTTGATATTCTCATTTGAATTCACTTCATGCCAAATCATGAAGCTATGCAGGGAAGATCCAACTATGAAGGCCTTTTCCCCAGTCCAGCTCCTTGTTTTCCACATCCTTTAATTCCCTCTACTGTCAACTGTACAGGAATTTAGCAGCTGAAGAGGAGTTATCTGGGGCATAATTTAAAGGGAATAAGGGGTAGGTAAAGGTTGTATTGGTCTTTCAGATTTTAATTTGGGTTTTTACCATTAGGCATTATAGTAAATGACTGTATTTTCTAAAATCTGCATTTCTTTTTCTATGGTTTCCTGAGGCTTGAGTTGATCTCTATGGTGGGTATAAACCGGGGTGGCAAACCAGAGGGCAATTAATGGAGCCTGATCCTGTCTAGAGTTGGGGCTCTCCGGATCTGGTTACCATGCTGAAGGCAGTTTCTTGCCTACCAGGATCTGGGTCTAAGGAAAATAAGTGAGTCTACCTTGAAATACTGTTGTATACTTAAGTGTGTTGTGCTACATGGGATGACTTTCCTCTTAGAACTAAATACATTCCTCCTCCACCCTCTTTCCCATTCACTCTCAAGTTTTATTAACTGCTTTCTTCTGGAAGCCTTTTAAGGTACCTCATTCAGAAGGCTTTTCTAGAGCACTGCCTTCCATAATCTGTAGGGCATTCCAACACTATGATAAGAACAAAAGTGGAAGAGTTTGAAACTTCTCTGAGAAGAGGTTAGTTACGTAGAGCTAACAGAGAGCAGATACATCCCCAAAGCATGGAGTCGGGGGCACCATGGGTAAAAATTCCTATTCTCAGGTCTTGCCTGGGGCAGGGCCTAGGAATCTGTAAACTGAACAACGTATCTGGGCAAGCAGGCTTTCAGCCAGTGAACCATTCTTTCTCTTTCTTACCAGGGAGGGAACAGAGGCTCAGTGAGGGCAACTGCCCAAGATGCCATGGTGGATTTGGGGCGAGGATGGGACTGGAGCCCAGCATCCCGACTGACCGCAGCGTGCCTCCCCTGCAGTGCACTGGGCACTGTTGTGTGACACCCTTGTGCTCTGGGGCCATGTTTTAAGTGAACATGGATGTGTTATTAGTACTCAGTCCATATTCTTGCCAGAGTAATCCGTTTTTTCTTTGCCTCCTCCTGACTTCCCTTTCTCTGGATGCCCTGAACCACCATGCAAATAGACTTGTTTTTCTCAGTGTTTTAGCCAGTATAGAGACTTGAAACTCAAAGATTGCCTCATCACAAGGCTGCCTTACTGGAGATCTGTATCTTGTTTAATTTCTGAGAGGGCAGAAATGTTTAAAATCATCAGTATCACTCTGGGGTAGGTAGAGGGAAGAAGAGCTTCTCAGCAGCTCGTGGCCCTCCTCCAAGGTTCCAGGACACGCTTGGAGAAGACAGTGGAATTCGGGTCAGTAGCAGTGTGGTGGGAGCCAGACTCAGAACAGGACAGAACCCTCCTCTTTGTCTGTCACGGAGTCAGGCCACCCCAGCTGGTGACCAGATTGCTTAAAAGAGACTAAAACTGAGAGCAGTTTGTCTGCCTGTAATGGTTTAAAGCATCATATGCTTCTCCTCCCCAGTGGGCCTTTTGGGGGCTTTTCTAAGTAAGGGAGTGTAATGTTCATGGGTTGGAAGCAACTTCAGTTTATTTTATTTGACTTTATGCAACCAAACCCTACTCCTTGGGCAAGCTAAAGGACAGCTTCCCCGGCCCTCCTATTGCAGAAGTATGTTTGCTCTACTCTTGCCAAGGTGCGAGGGGCCCAAGGGTCCCAGGGTTGGCTCAATTTCAGGTGATGACCAGCTCAGCTCAGTTTCTCTCCTACCCTCTGCCATTCTGTGTATTTTTTCTTTAGGAATGAACAGACCTTGACTGTTGAGCACTGGCTGGCCCTGAGCCTGCCAGTTACTTGTCCAGGATGGGCATGTGACAGAGGGCTGATGCTCTCTCTTGAAGCAATTAGGACGGCCCTGGCCTGAGATACTCCTGCCAAGAGAAGTAACTCACCTGGTACACAGAAGGGAAAGTGGAGCACCACGTGTGCCTCCCCTGTATCCAACCTGAGGCTCTGCCTGGCTATTGATGTTGAAGCAGAGGAGGCAGGCGCCATGGCACATCATGCTGGGTCCTTAGAGGGCAAGAACAGTAAGTGGCAGAGGGAGCCTCTGGAGGTAAGGAGTATGTATCATGTTGAGAAGCAAGTACATATTTCCATATGGGATGAAGAGCCGCCACATGGAGAGATGTGCAGAGAACTACAGACACCCGCATGCTCCGTGGGGGACCAGCTGAGCGTTCCCTGTGATGGCCCTGCTCACCCTGCCTCTGAGGTTACAGTTCCCAATGTGCCAGGGAGAGGAGGGCTGTGTAAACTGGGCCCCAGGTGTTTGAGGCAACTGTCTTCTCCACTTATTTCAAACTCACTAACAAGGCCAAATACATTCTAGAAAGCTCGGAGCGTCTTGGCGATTCATTGGCATCTGTAGGTCCCTAGAGAAAAGCTACAACTAAAAGCTCAACAGACATGCCCCCTTCCTGACTCTGGGGCTTAAACCTCTAACCTTGAAGGCTTTGGCTGCTTGCTTGCCATTGAAGTGGAAAGAAAATGGGAAAGGTGCAATTTAAAAGCCAGAGTGTATTTTGCTGACAGTATGTTTCTGGGTGTGCCTTCCAGAGAGCATGCTCCCTGAGGAAGACTCGCGCAGCTTGCTACAACGTAAACAGGAACAAGAGGTAACGGCTCCGCTCGCTCCGTAGAAAACTAGCAGCAGCATTTTCTCTCAGGGGCGTCCCCTGGGGTCGTCAAGCAGCCTCTCCCATGAGGGTGGGTGTGCCTGGTCAGCACAGCTATAACTCATCCATCATGGCCAGCAAATCATCCCCCTTGCTGGCACTCTGCCTAGGCTGGTCCGTGATCTCAAGCTCCCCCATGATACGAGCCAGTGCCTCGTTCCTTTGCTGGTCCTGTTGGAGAAAGGTGAGAGGAAAGAGTGAAGAGGCTGGGTTGGCACGCCTGTGTGCAGTGGGTGTTTCACTGTTGTCCCACCATGGGGATGCACTCCAGTTCCTCGCCTGTTTGTCAGACTAGGGACTATGGTTACATGCTGACTAGAGCGGGAAGGAGGGCCTTTGAAGTTCAAGGTTATTACAAGAGGCACGGAATGAACTTTGATTTGAGAAATCCCTGGCACACACCTGAGTGGCCTGTATGTTGATGACTTCATAGGATAACTCTTCTGGTCTGGTTAGTGCTGCTTGCCTGCAGGAGATGGTAGAAAAATGGGGTAAAGGTTAGGGTTTTCTCCCTGCTAGCATGGCAAACTGGCACTTGATAATTTGGCCACCTACTTTTTTCTGCCTCACCTTCTGCCATTTCCCATCAACTTTTCACCCTATCCCCAACCAATGCACCCTACACTCCAGAAAGCCAAGTCCTTTATGTCTGTGTGCCTCTGCACATACTGAGTTCTGCCAAGAATATTCTCACTCTTCCTCTGCTTGGCAACTCCAAGACCCAGCTCAGATGGCAACGCCCTCAATCTGCTGGTGCAAAGTCAATCACTGTGTACTCCATTAGAGCATTTATGACACGGCACTGAAATCACTCATGTACTCATTCTCCCACTACACTAGGCGCTCTCGAGGACAGGCTCTTGCTCTTACACTCCATCCTTGTGTTTCCAGAACTTACCATATTATCTGCCACACAGCAGTATACAAAAGTAGTTTGCTCAATGGATAGGGAAGTTGAAGTCAACCCCCACCCCAGATATTTGGTTGTGAGAAGGATCACATGAGGTAATGGATGCAGAAGTGTCTTGTAAATTGCAACGCGCTGTAAAAATCTTGGTGAGTTATTATGACAACTGGTTTTGGGGGAGACTGTCTGATCTCAGAGACATCATGCTCCAGCCTCCCTCTGGTTTCTTAAAAGACTTTTCGTAATATGAGTATCCTGACTTCCAATACTTCCTGTTCAGCTGTGCTTTGCAAAGTAAAACATTAGAACTGCCTTTGAATGAATCCAGAAGGTTCAGGCTATTTACTGGCGGATTCTTCTCCAACTGCGTTGTTTTGCAGGTGTTTCATTTGTGATCTTTACCTCTGTATGTATAAGTGTCATTGGTTTCTAATGGTCATTTTTTGGGTTCTTTTTGTACTTAGGATTTTTATATATATCTTGAAAAAGCAGGTTTAAAAAACATACTCCTCCTCTTCATCAGTAGTGAAGAGATTCAACCGGAATCCTGGCTCCCAGCCACTGGGTTTCTGAATCTCCATCCCTCCCATCAGCCTGGCCAGGAAATTCAGCTCTTCTTTAGCAAGAGGGTTTGGAGCAATGCTTTCCTGCAGAAACATTTTAATGATTTTTAGCCACATGAAGGTGATCACATTTCCTGTTGAGACCCCAGAGACCCAGGTTATAAAACAGGGCAAAACAGTAACTGTTTAAATTACTTCCAGGAAGAGCTGTGTCCAAATATAGCATAGAAACAGACTTAACCAAAAGGGAAATAATCCATGTCAGAAGCAGAGGGACTCTTAGCAAGGCAGCAAACCAGAGATCTTCAGTTTCAAGATGAGTGGAAGGCCCTAGGGATCCCCATTCTCCTTAAACCACCTCCCTCCTCAGAGGAGAACACTGCTTCCTCTTCTGTCAGTCTAGTTCCCTAAGCAATTACAAGTAGCCTCAGCAGACACAAGGTCCAAGGGCATTCATTCTGTAGGAGCTACCACAGTGCCCTCAGGTGGTGACCGTCATGAACACACCCGGAAGCCATGCCCTCCTCTCCCTCACAGGGTGATCGGGCCTTGGCCTTTGCCCCGCCTTTGCCCTTCTTTCGAACCGCCCCAGCCCCCGCCTTCCCCAGCTCCGCCTGTTCCGTCAGTGGGCCGCGAGAGCTCTAAATACAGTTCTCAACGTTTTTCTCTTGCTGGAGACAAACCCCGCTGCCTCCTACCTAAAGGACAAAGTCCAAAGTGTTTATGCCCTTTTTGCATCGGGCCCCAGTGTCCCTGTGCGGTTGAATCTCTGGCTACCTGCCTCAATTTTGTTAAAATGTAGCCATGTGGGAGAGATGTGGCCTCCCGGCTTCCCTCAAACACTATGCTCCTTTGCCCCTTGCCTTTGCTCAAACAGTCACCGTGGTTTGCATGTCCATTTCTCCTTCTTGGCTGTTTAGTATCTTACCCACTCTAGAGCCCCCTTGATCCTTGGCCCCTGTCCCCATCCCACTGGACAGAACATGTGTTCTGGCAAGGCACTTTGTTCAGGACACCCAGCTAGCTCTTCTTCCACTGTGTGATGATTATTTGTTTCTGTCTGTCATCTTTCCTCAAGCCCCTGCAGGATGGACCACACCTAAATGAGCTGGGAACCCAGCCCATGGAAGTAGTTCAATAAATGTTTTTTGAATAACTGAATATTCCATGATTTGTCCTACGGCTAGCTGGTAGCTAGTTCACTGAAAATTTATAAAGATGGAATTCAGAGAGCCTAAACCCATTTTGAACTTAGCTACCACATCATTATATGGGGAAGCTTTTGAGACATTAAGAAGCATCCAGAATGATCAGACTACACATGAGTGCTGGACTCAACAACCAGCACCTAGTAGGATTGGCACAATGTTATTCACATGTCCTGGTGTGTGGTTCCTGCCTAAGTATGCGGGCTGAGCCAAGCCTAAAATTACCCAATTAGCCAGATTACTGGAAGTATCTATGAGAAACTACAATTAAAAACCTGTGTACTTGTAAGGCTGAGAGAAGATTGCAAACAACAAGGGAAATGCTGGCTAGCTTTAAGATCTAGAGTTCCCACCCTTCTCCTCATCCAGATTTTTGTATCTAGAAATAAGCTCTGAAGGCAAGGGTGGGTGAAGCTTACCTGTGTCTGTGAAGCTAAGTTCTTTGATGCTCCAGACATATGGGTTTCCACAGACCGGTTTGCACTGTACCTGTGTCAAAGGAAAACCACAAAAACATTGTCCAGTCCTTTTACAGTGACTTCTTTCTGACTCATAAATATAATGCATGGCTTTTGAGACATTAAGAAGCATCCAAAAAGATTTTGGGAGTACACAATACAACGAAATGGGTGTCAGCCACTCAAATTTCACTTCTTCCCAAAGAAAAATACCTGGGAAGCTGTGTGGAGATGCCTCCTCTTGCAAAATAATGTGGAACATGGAAAAGAAGGTGAACGATACATGAAGGCCCACCCTTCTGGATCTTCACTGCAACAAAGGTTTTGGCTACTTCTCTCCCATGACCACTTAAAATTATTTATCTTTTCGACTTGTTGGGTTACCTTGTGTTTGGAAATCCTGGGTGCTCTCTGAACATGTCAGGGGTCTGCATGCCTTGTATCTAAGGGGAAATTACTTCAATTGTCAGCAGGGATTTTCAAAAGCAGAAGTCAAGTTGGTTTTTTAAATGAAGTGATCTCCCCTGGACTTGAATTCATTCAGGGAGGGGGACTTTGCTTACATATTAGTTCCCAGTTTCAGGCCTCGGTCTCCATAAAGTTCAAAAGAACCTTCTTTTGATGCAGTGACATAGTTTCCACCATGCTTGAATTCTACATTCTTCACCTCTTCGCCTTTGTTGTTGAACATTCTACAATACAAAGTATGACATGATGGAATGTTCTCTAAGCTGGGGTAGTCCTGGAGTCTTCTTTATTCTTTGTACTATGGGACAAAAAGGAATTCATGCACTCCTTCAAGATAAAGATGCTGGTTGAGGCAACAATAATAATAATGCAATAATAATATTTAATAATAATAGTTACTGAGTGTGTGTTTTGTGCCAGGTCTGTGTAAGCACTTTAAAGCATTATCCTCTTATTCATCTTCATAGTAACCTTTTAATAGATGAAGAAATAAATCCTGGAGGACTTGGTGATTTGCTTCAAGTGTCTGCTAAATGGCAAATCTAGGATTAGAACCTGACCTTCTACTGCTGTGCTTTCTGAAGAAAGAGAGGGGCCCAACAGTACTCCATTCTGTGTAGTGGCCCCCCATATTGCTTTTCTGGTACCTCAAACACTGGTCTGACCATTACTGTCAGGAATTCACCTGATGAGTCCAGGAACTTCAGTTCCCCAGGGAACAGGCCCAGACACTGGCAACACAAAGCGACCACTAGAATTCTGAACTCGGTCCTTTAGAAATATGGACACCTGGAAAAAAATACATGTATTGTCGTTTTACTTGGTATACTTTCATGGACATAAGCATTCTGAGGATGGAAAGCATGTAATGGCTTGGGAATGTTACCTAGTGAGTTCGTAACAGTAACAGACAAACTCATCCTAACTAACACTGGCAGTTAGTGTTTTTACAAACAGAACTTCTTTTGAGCCGCACAGCAAGTCTCCCAGGCACATTGTATTACCCATCTTTTAAAAATGAAGTTAAGGTTCACAGAGTGAAGTGACTTGCCCAAAGAGTACAGTAAGAGGTAGGGCCAGGATTCAAAACCAAGGTTGACTTCAAATTCCATACCATTCCATGGTTCCCTGTTAACTTTCCACACAGCTGTGAGGCTTGAGTTGTAAGAACCTCATTATCTCCATTTTACAGATGAGAAATCAGCAGCTCAGAGGTTAAGCCACTTCCTCAAAGCCAGCCAGCTCATAAGGGCCAGAGCTGAGGTTCAAAGCCTTGTGTTTGAATTCAGACTCTGGAGCCCGAGATTTTGCCCTGTGTTGGACTGGTGAGAAGGGGTCAGAGCAGGTGTATCCAGTTGGTGCTTGAGTTTTAAGGTCTTTGATGTGTCTAAAAACATCACCTAATGCTTATTTCTCCTCCCTGGTTTGTGCACTCTGTACTGGGGGTCTTGGTCAGGAGAAGTCCCATAAAGATAGTAGCAGTTAATCAGTTTTATTGGATCTTACCTTCCTCATCTGTAAAATGAGATAAACTTGAACGTCTCTTCAACTCTAAAATTCTACAGGATTATATTAGTAATATCACTAAGGATAAGCATCTGTTGTATGCAAGGCAGTGAAAGTGCAAAGGTAAGAATTTGTATGCTGGCTGTGACAGACTGTTGGCAGGTTAATGACAGACTGTCTAGGCTTACATCCCAGCTGGGTCCCTCCTTGGCCCTGGGGGTTTTGGAAGTTACACAACCCTTTACCCTTCTGTCAATCACTTTTCTCTTTGGTAAACTGGGGTTAATAGTGGTACCTTTGCAATGGGTTAGTGTGATCAGTAGGTCAGATAATGAACAAAAAACATGCATCCCAGAGCCTGACACAGTAAGTGCTCAGTACGTGGTAGGTAATACTCTCAGTATCACTGCCTAATTGGACACAGGACACAGGCATAAAATGGAAAAAAAGAATGATATTCTACAGCAGGATATGCTGAATGGCATATGTAGATTAGCCCACTGAGGAGAACCACTACAGGCCTGGGGGTGGGTTTGGGGCTGGCCTGGAGGAAGCAGCTACTTGTGAAGCAGAGATGGGCATGCACAAGACATGTTTTGGGGGGAAATGTATAAACTGGATTGGTTAGAAGGTTTGGCTGGATGACCTTTAAGGAATTGTTATCCTTGAGATTCTGTGACTAGGGGATATGAATACAGGCATGGAGAAAGAAAATTTGGAGAGGGAAGTGGGAATATATATATACATGCTGGACCCTCTAGTAAGGCTGACCATGTCATAGTAGATCTGAAATGTACACATTTAAATAAAGAGTCTGTGTTTGACTCGAAAATCTGCCCTTGGCTAGACAGGACTGTGGGATCTGCCTGCTTGTTCAGCCCCTCTGTTGGCCCTCAGCTGTAGGTGTGACTCTCCCTTGCCCTTTCCCCCCTCACCCCACCCTTTTTTCCCCCCAGGTGATCTCATCTACTCCCATATGCCAATGTTTACCCTGTGCTGATGCCTCCCAGATCTTGAGCTGCCACTTAGCTTTATTCTCTGGGCACGGGACCCATCTATTCCATTGCTTATTAGACATGTCCACATACAGGTTCATGGGGTGCACCCCGGATTCACCCTGCTCAGAACAGGGCTCATCATTTGTCTTCTTAAACCTTGTCCTCCTCCGATGGTCGCAATCTCAGTGAGTGACACCCAGGTCATCAGGCTTCCCCCACCACCTTCCCATGTCTATTCAGCCACCAAGCCTTGCCAACCCAGTGACCACTCCTTGTGTCTGGCCCTTGCTCTCTCCATGGCTCCCCAGTGCAGGGCTTCCTTGCCTCTTACCTCTTAACTGGTCTCCTGCTTCCCTCCAATTTGATCCAGCTGCCATCATGCTGCTAGAGACTGTTCCCAACTCATATCTGACCCTGTCCCTCTCTTGCTTCAGTGGCTCTCTGCCTGCCAGATAATGTCCAGCTGGCTCTTGTTCTTCTTTGTAGCCATGTGTCTCCTTGAGTCCTATGCTCTAGCCATACTGTTTCTCGTAGTGTTCTCCACCCTGCACCACCAAATACACCAGGCAGTATATGCCTCAGGCCTCTGCTGAGATGGTGTCCTCTGCCTGAGGTGTCCATCTTAACCTCCCCTTATTTTCCTATGGGTCTAATGAAAACCCATTTCTTTTAAAGGTATTAGCTCCTCTATGAAGACTTTCCTGATTCTTTTAGATAGAACTGACCACCTCATTGGTTGTGTCCTCTCTCTTTACACTCTTTCATTTAAAACCAAATACCTGTAAGGTACTAAGTGCATTTCCCCCACTTCTCTAATGAGTTCTTGAGGGCAAGAACCGTGTTTCCTAGGTGAATGTCATTCAGCTGTGGGGACAGAGTGCTGGATGAGACATCTCCATAAGCATTTGTGTTCCTCAGGATGCTGGCTAACTCTGGTGGCCAGGAAGAGAGCCAGGGCTTTAAATGCTCAGTGAATATGGGTGAGGGACTTGGCAGTCAGTTCAGCAGTGAGTGATGAGCACAGGGCCTTGGACTGAGTTATGGTTACTGGTCTGACCTTACAGGAGAAGGGGTGAGTCTGTGCGGGCAGGAGAATAATGATCTGAAAGTGAGGGGGAAGCTGGCAGAATACTGATTCTGCTTCTCACATCCTGCCTGCAGATGAGGGAGAAGGACCAGCTTCCACCAAGTGGCCAGAACACTTCAAACACCACCTCTGTGCTGTATGCTGAGGATCTGCACATTTTTGTCTCCACCCTGGACCTTTCTTCTGAGTTTTAGATTTTAATATTCAAATGCCTACTTGAAATTGCTACTTGGATGTCTCATAGGCAAATCAAACTTAAACAATTAATTTTTCTACCCAAATAAACTTCCCTTCGGTTCTCCTCCCACAGTAAATGGCACCACCAGTTGCTCAGGTCAAAAACTTGGTAGTTGTTCTTCATTCTTCTTCCCCACATCCAGTCTCTGGCTCAGGTCTTAGTGACCTTGCCCTGAACAGACAGCCCAAATGTGGAAGTTTCCCATGCTCTCCACCAGTAGCACCATTTTTGCCTAGATTTCTACAATAGCTTCCTAACTGCAGTCCTATTGCTACCTTTGTCCCATCCCACAGAGTTCATCTTCCAGAACACAAATCAGGTCATGTCACCACTCACCTTAAAATGCTCATAATCTTTTCTTTCCTCTTAGAAAAAACTCCTTACTAGGGCCTAAAGCTATGTCAACTGGTAGGCTGCGTTTATTAATGACTGGCCCCTGTTCTGATCAGCCAGTGCCCATGCTGCATAGGTAGTACTCTCTGAGTATCACTCCTGTCTAGATATGCTTTAGTCACATTGGCTCTCTCTTTGCCCAAGGAACACATGCTTTTTCCCACCTAAGGGCCTTTGAACTGGCTGTTCCTTCAGTTTAGATGCTCCTCCATGAGATCTGTTATATTCTCAGCTAAAATGCCTGTCTTCAAAAAGGCTGTCCTTCAATATTGCTTCTCTCTCACTTGCCAACTTTACATTTCCCTGTATGGCCCCGGAAGATGACTGGTTAGCCAGAGACAGGTAAGATGCCTCAAGGGAGGAACAACCTAAGACAGGCACAGTCGCAGGGGGGCCATCAG